CATTGCTGTGACAAAATACCTGAAGTAGCAACTTAAGGAAGGGTTTATTTTGGCTCATATGTTGAAGGTACAGTCTGTCATGGTGGAGGGAGCATGAGGCAGATGGTCACACTGCACCACAGTCAAGAAGCAGAGAGAGATGAATGCTGGTGCTCAGCTCATTTTCTCCTTTTCATTCAGTCTGGGACCCCAGCCCATGGAATGGTGCCACCCACATTTAGGGTAGATCTTCTCACTTCAATTAACCCAGTCTAGAAACTCCCCCACAGACAAGCCCAGAGGTTTGTCTCCTAGATGATTCTAGATCCTGTCAAGTTAACAATCACAGACTACCCATCATTATTTAGACAGTATCAATTGCTGGGTATGTGGTAGTTTTGTATTGTGTTTGTTTAGCTCCACTATGTTTTGACAGGGTCATACTATGGACCAGCTAACCTCCAATTCATGATCCACCTGCCTCAGCCTCCTCCACGTTGAGATCACAGGCCTGTTCTATCACTTTCAGCTCTGCATAAGAGACTCAAACCTTTTCTCTATGAAACAACTTCTCTACCTAACCTGACAGACACAGCTTAGCTTCCTCCTAGTCTAACCATTAACATCAGAAGAAAAATATCACAGTGAAATATGCATGGCCCTTAGTAGTGGAGCTGCCAGATAGAGTTTCTTCATTTTTCATTACATGGATCCTTTCTTCTTTTTTTTTAACAGTTTCCTTGGACCCATGCTTTTTTCCTGTTGTCAGGCAAGGTGACTCCTTCAGGGAAAACAGACAAATTAGATAGAACTGCTACTTTACAAGCAATAATACCACTCTCTCTCTCTCTCTCCCTAGTTTTTCTACATTGCTTAGACAATGAATGGGTACCACCAAATTCTCACCTCCTAGGCAGCCCACACTGATCAGGCATCTAGTCACAGGGGACACTTGGAGAATCATCAACAATGTAAAATACTTAAGAGTTCAACATTCTTTCGCTAAAAATATCTTTATTAAGTGCCAGCCTGTTCCTGGAATCTTACTAGGTGCTAGAGAAACACAGAAGCCCTGCCCTTGGGAGCTCTCAGCCTGTTAAGATAGAGGGACAGGAAACTCAAAAACACATCTGCTTGGTGAGCTCAGGGGGCCCTAGCCAAAAAGGGTCCTCAGGCAAAAACACAGGAGGGCCAGCAATGGGCTGGTTTTATAGTCTCAGTGTCCCAAGGACACCAAGCACAGAGCAGAGTGGGACCACATGCTCAGGCCCTCTCACTGCTTCCTAGTTGCCAGCAACTGAGCAGCTTTGAGCAGGCTCCTAGCAATCTGTCTACAGGTCCACAGCAATGGGACCAAGTAACCAAGGGCTGAAACTCTAAAGCCCATGAGCCAAATCAATCTTTCTTCCTCAGTTTTTGTTTTTCTCAGAAATTTTGTCACAGAGGGATGAAAAATCAACACTGTTTTTTCCTTCAACTTTCTGCATTCATGGTATGTTTCACATGACACTGGAGCCTTCATAAAGATATGAAGACCTGTAAGGTTAGGCAAGGTGGTGCATGCCTTTAATCTCAGCAGAGTCAGGTGGAACTCTGTGAGTTTAAGGCCAGCCTTGTCCACAGAGCGAGTTCCAGGCCAGTCAGGGCTACATAGTAAGACCTAGTCTGTCTCTCTCTCTTTCTCTCTCTAGATAGATTAGACGATAGATAGATAGATAGATAGATAGATAGATAGATAGATAGATAGATAGATAGATAGATAGATTGATAGATTGATAGATGATAGATAGATAGATAGATAGATAGATAGATAGATAGATAGATAGATAGATAGATAGATAGATAGACAGACAGACAGACAGACAGATAAACCTGAAGCCAGGCATGGCAGCTCATTCCTGCAATCCCAGCACCTGGGAGAATGAGACAAGTGCTGTGAGCCTGAAGTCCGCCTGCTGGGCTCAACCAAAGGAATCCAGACCTGAAGCCTGAATGCTTTTATGCTATGCTGTGTGTGTGTGTGTGTATGTGTGTGTGTGTGTGTGTGTGTGTGTGTG